CATTTTCCTTTCTCCATCTTTTCTGATTCCTTTTAATCCCACCAGTGTGTGTAAAGTTTTTTTCCCCATTCACACCATTTCTGTGTTCCTTTATTGTTAGTGTTGTTATTGTTTGTCTTTCACTATTTAATAACCAAGAACAATGGAAAGATAAGAGAAGTGGGAAGGTCCATTAGAAATCCACCAAGGAATCAAGGATGGTGATTAATGTTGAACCTAGGAATGTTGGATTTGGGTTATAAACAATATTTGTTTATTGCCTCTTAATATGTGACGTGGAAATTAGAGAGGATTCTAGCCTGAATAATGATGGATTTAGTTTACACCCCTTCTGTCATACTGATATCTTCTCAATTTGTTTTATGGTGAGTCTTCAATTCAGTTTTCTCCTATTCTTTGAACCAAGGGTGGATTCCGGCAGTCACTATTGCTGGTTTGCTCATGGCCATGCTGCGCACGCACTTTGCGTATGCACACATGCATAGTGTAATAAAAATTGCTCTGTGCATGCGCAGAAGCAAAAAACAAGATGGTGGCGCCTATGGTGCTGCAAGGAGAACTGGTTCGGGAGGCGGGCCTGGGTCGCTGCCAGTTCCAGTGACCCAGGCCGCCAAACCACTACTGGTTCAGCCGAACTGGTCCGAACTGGTAGTAACTCACCTCTGCTTTGAAACCAATCACTTTCTTTCCATGGTACTCTCAAATACTGTAAATCTTTCTGATTATATGACTCTATGATCTTAATAAAGATTGACTGTATAATTAACTGATTAATCCCTTTTCGTCTGTAATGAAATTTGGTTTGGGTGAACAAAAGTCATTGACCAGAATCATTCTTCATGTTTCAATGAATTTAAATGTTCCCAAGGAAGGAAAATATTGAAGGAAACTTCCCAGCTGACAAATAGAAAACTTATTTGTTCTGGAAAAGAAAATTTACCGTGTCCTTTTATCTCTTCCTACCACATCTTTCAAGTTATTTTTTTTCTTATTCTTCTCATTATTGAAGAAATTAGGCATCTTCAAAATTAAGAAAACAAGAGTCAAGCTTAGATTTGTCTTTTAACATGTAGATTGATCAAAATGTCCTGGATGAATCCACTATTCTGTATGGGTGTCACCCACCTTCTTGGGTGGAGATGGTCCCCTCCGGACAAGGAATGCAGTCGTAGCAGCAAAGTGGCTCTCCTTCTCGAGCCTGTTTGACAAATCCAGGATGACAACTTTCCACACATTTGGACTGAGGGAGAGACTAAGAAGGAAAACAAGGAGTGCCAAAGAAAATATGTTAGGACTCACCATCCATGGAAAATGGAGGTGGACATTAACATTAGCTAATTAATTTTTGGGCTTCATTTACTTAATGTTACTTAATGTAGCTAACAATCAAGACAAACAGTTGCATTCAACGGGTTTTCAGATGAAATGCCCTCTTACTAGCCAACACCCAAATCTAATTATTATTTCCTCTCAAATTGTTCCTCATTACTTCAGATATCAAAAAGGACCTCTTTTTTGGGGGGATCTCACATTGGACCAGTCATTATGATTTTATTTAAACTGAAATCCTTGGACCTCCTTCCTTAGGAGTTAAAATGGATTAAATTATATGTTGAACTTCCAAAGCTTCCTCTCTCTTTCCCAGCAAAGCTGACAATCAAGTGCCAGGGACTGAGAAGGAAATTTCCCACAATCAGATAAGTTTAGGAAGCTGTCATGAGGACTCACTATGAACAATCCTGCAGTAAATATGACAAATATAATAAACTAAGTTTGAGTCTAACCTTGTGAAGGAAATCCCATAGATTGACGTTGAACATTTTTGTATAAATATCTGAGTGAACATTTACTCACTCTGCATGTTTTCAGTCTCTGTTCAAAGCGGGAAGCTCTTATTTGTGCAGAAATAAAAAACTGACGAATCTCTTTCCTTGTTTCAGCATCATTTGTTGGACAGCTGAGACTCTGGCCAACACTTCAAATTACTCTGAGAAAACTGTTAGGATTCTACTCTTCACATTCAGTTCTCAGGGAAAGTCATCCATCTTGGTGACTGGCCTTAACCCATTTGAAATATGTCCCAAGGATTTGGGAAGAAAGAGAAAAAGCAGCAATATTTTCCCCACCTTGTTGAGCAACTTTAGTCGTGACAGAGAATCTTGGTTGACAATAAGTTTCTGTTGTTCAAAACTGCCCAGTTGCTCTCTGATGGGATCTTCTTTGGAGAGAAACATCCAGCTTATGATATTCAGGTCTGCTGCTACATCTCCATTTTGGTCCAAGTACAGTTTCAGCAGGGAAAGATTGCACAATTCATTATTCTTGAGAAACGGGTGGAACTAGAATGGAAACATCCAGGAATTTTAAAAGCAGAACATTTAGTTTCTTATCAGGGGTGAAATGCTCTGAGGTCTGCTACTGGTTCGCTTTGCGTTCATATACACTAGAGGCGCTAAGAAGCCTTTTGCAAAGGTAAGTAGAACAGCAAGGGGAGAACAGCAGGATTTCCTGCTTTCTAGCGAATATAAATCATCCAGCGCAGCTGATTGTCATACAGCTGATCGTCTGAACTTTTAAAAAACCTTTTTAAAGCATTATTTTACTACCCGGAGAACCAGTAGTTTAAAAATGCTTTAAAAAGTTTTTAAAAAGTTCCCATGATCGAAAGGCACAGCTGATTGTCGCACAGCTGATCATTGGAACTTTTAAAAAACCTTTTTAAAGCATTTTTTTACTACCTGGAGAACCAGTAGTTAAAAAATGCTTTAAAAAGTTTTAAAAAACATTCCCATGATCGAGCGGCACAGCTGATTGTCACACAGCTGATTGTCAGAACTTTTAAAAAACCTTTTTAAAGCATTTTTTTACTACCTGGAGAACCAGTAGTTAAAAAATGCTTTAAAAAGTTTTTAAAAACATTCCCATGATCGAGCGGCACAGCTGTTTGTTGCACAGCTGATCGTTGGAACTTTAAAAAAACTTTTAAAAGCATTTTTTAAACTACCAGTTTGGGTGAACCGGCCCAAACTGGTAACATTTCACCCCTCTTTCTTATCCCATATGCTCTAGTCACATTTAATTCTTCTTTCTATAGTTGTATAACTTGTAACTACCCCGAATGAAGGAGAACCATTCATTATCTTTAAAAAAATGTTCAGCAAAAATTATCAGTCATACAATAACAATATACAAGTATATATTGACAGAATGTGTCAATTGTAAGGAACATTTTAGAATATTTCAGAAATAGCTTGAGCAAGGAAAATGTGAAGAGATCATTAATTCCTTGAAAACGATAGAGTGATTACCAAAAAGCATGGATTTGTCAAGGAGAAAGTTTCCAGGCTATTCTTCTTCCAAGTAGCCAGACAGGGAAATACAAGCACACAAATTAATTCTACTTTATTGGAGAGCATTAAAGTAATCCTACAAGTCTGCAAACGAAAATATATCCCATCAACGAAAGCCTAAAAAATTCATGAGGATTCTTTCTGTGTTTATTTCTCTGCCTTAGGTAGCTTTGTGTTCCCTTTGCTCCGACATGATCATTCCTTAGGCAGCATCTCTTCCCCAGGTCCCAAACTTATATGTTATTAAACTTCCTTAATAGATTGTGGGGATACTGGAAATATAACTTGACTTCATCAAAGTATGAACCAAGTATTTCCTGATGTGATGGCCTAGTTAAGCTAGAGCTGGGTGGTATGATAATTAAGTAATTAAAAAAATCTCCTTTAACATTTTTATGGAAGTGTAAAATACAATGAGATACAAAATATGAAAGTAAATAAGAAAATGGTGGGGAGGAAGAGGGGGAAGAGAAGTGAGGAAGGATAAGGAAAAAGAAAGAAAAAGAAACAGACTCTCTCTGTTGCAGTAAAATAAGGCATTAACATCAAATCACAACTTTTTGTTTTTTCATAATAATATGAGCAAGCCATTTCTATAAAGACCTATTAATCTAATTGGTATTAAGTGATAAAAAAAATATTGTATTGTAAAAATTAAAGTAAAATATGTTTCAATGTTCCTCATGAAGCTGGGAAGTTATATATGACACCGAGTTTTTGGTTACCTAGTCTTCTCTAATTTCATTAATACAGAGGGGTAGTGTCTTTTGAAAAAAAAAAAACCAAGCTTCCAGAAAAATATTTATGACTTTTGGATAAAAGTACCTAAGTGAAATCCAATAGACACATATGTGATTTCTAGCAACTAAGACTTACTTCACAAATTATGGTATCTTGCATTAGAAAAAAGGAATATCACCTACACTGTAGATCTTTCATTAAGATTTCATTTGTATTTTTTTATTATATTCCCATATTTTTCTCTATGCTAGATATTATCTATACTAGTAGCAATGATAGTAATTTAATAGCTTGATGGTAGTCATATAGCCTATTTGATTATCGTGACCCGACAAATGCACCCACGACAAAAGCGCGCCGATGAAACCACGGCATGAAAACCGCGATGTCATCAACGTGCCCACAACAGTGTGCCGACAGAAGCGCAATTTAAGTTAAGGTAAGGGTTAGGGTCAGGGTTAGGGTTAGGGTTA